GCTTTTCGCTGCGAGGAGCCTGGTTTTGACGGGCGACCCGGGCCTTGCTTTGCGCTGCATCTTAACGCTACCTTTTTATTCAGTTTCTAGAGCCTGTTTATGAAGATAAGGCTGCCAGGAGAGCAGAGCCCGCTGAAGGAACCGACAGCCTCGCCCTAACCAGTGTATGAAACGGCACAGCTGCTTCTGAAACACCTCCAGCTGTTCTCGGTTCACAAAACAAAGCTAGAATGGCTTAACTGTTTAAAACTGTTCCACCTCTCTATCAAACGATGTACTAAACTGTCAGCGTTGAAGGCAATTTCTTAAATTGCCTTCACGTCTACAGTTGCAGTCATGGTCTTCCAAAAGCCAGCCTTCTGCCTGCCATCGCTGCTGTTGTAGTTCTGGTTGACAGAGGTTGTTGCTGTCTTCTTCCAGGTTTATCACCGCGTGTACTATAATTCTGCTGGGTTTTAGTTTTGTGTTTTGTTGAGATAAGGGTGTTCTCCACAGTGAGGTATCTCCCGCCGACTTTTATTCAGCTACAGAAAGGGAACAAACAACTTGACCAGGCACATAGGAGAGAGCAAATACTGTTGTAGTTCTGGTTGACAGAGGTTGTTGCTGTCTTCTTCCAGGTTTATCACCGCGTGTACTATAATTCTGCTGGGTTTTAGTTTTGTGTTTTGTTGAGATAAGGGTGTTCTCCACAGTGAGGTATCTCCCGCCGACTTTTATTCAGCTACAGAAAGGGAACAAACAACTTGACCAGGCACATAGGAGAGAGCAAATACCTGAAAACCAGCCTTTGAACGATTTTCAGGCAGACAGTGTCTCAACCGTCGTTACAGGTTGAGAAACTGAAGTTCAGACTAACTTAGCAGAATAGAAAAATGACCTCTTAAAGAGAACAGAGTGCCCCTAGGGCTCTCCCGTGGTTTTTTTGCATCCTCTGGGAAGTGTCTGACATACAGCAGTCACCAAGACAGGATGCAGTGAAATGAAGTAACTGCCTTGGTATGAAAATTCTTGTTTTTGTAAACTTCAGGCTAAGGTGTTTTTTTGATATGAATTACTCATATTTCTATCTGCTCTTAGTTCATGACTTTTGGAAAGACCCCTGGGAATGAAAACCCTCTTCTGCTTTTTTACAAATGGTATAATGCTGTATTTCTATTAGAATCTGTTCCTAAAATAATCAGTTGAGTGTAAGCTGTGACTTGGGTTAGCCTATGAACAGTCATACTCGGTACAGCTTGGAGTCCAGAAAATCTGTGTGCCAAAGCTTTTTTCTAAGCGCGTCTCTTCATGTGAGTACTTCCTTAGGCTCAGAATCAGGGAGGCCTTTTTGCTGTTGCGCTGCTTTGGACGAAATCATGTAGGAGACGACGGGTTTAGCTTGTCGTCTTAGAGGCTGTTAAACTCGAGACATTCCATCTCACAGCTGTAGTGCAGTGTCTGGTCTGCCTGCCGGGAAGGGTGTACTACGTGATGCTGGGAGGAGGCCTAACCATGCTAAAATAGGAGGCGGTGGCTGCAGAGGGTGGGGTTTGTTTTGGAGTGTGTTTAATTTTCCATGGGTTAACTCTGGCTATTTGTGTTTTGTAAGGACCTTCATTTACCTGTTGCCGTACCCCAAGTTCCCTCCTCGCCGAGACGCGAGTTTCCTGCAGACTGGAGTATAAAGACGCGACTTCTATTTATGTCCTCCCAACCTTTCACCTGGGCAGAACATTTAAAAGCACAAGAGGAGGCTCAGGGATTCGCTCAGCACTGCCGAGCCACAGAAGCAAACTTGCCGCAGAGCATACAGGTAATGTTTCAGCGGGTAGCGCGGGGCTCCAGCTTTGGAAAGGAGAATATGCCTTTGCACCTCTCCTTAAAACCTGCTGGCCGTGAAGGCTTGATTCTGTTTTGGTTTGGCCACGGATTAAGAACAGAGCTCATTGGGACGACTGAGCTGATTCCACCCATGTCTGTACCTGCAGTGAGTGGGGCAGGTGCCACTTGCTGTCCATCCTTCCTCAGCCTGGCTTGTTCACGAGCCAGGGATTATTTTTTGGCCTAAGTAGCTAACGCAATATTCCTTTAACCCGTCGCCTGCGATGCTGCCTGACATGAAGGATCACTGTCCTCATGATGCACTTTCTGACACCTAGGAACCAAAGCTGTCGACAGAACTGCGCTGCGCCTTTCAGCAAAGCCTCGTGTACTGGCTTCACCCTTCACTGCCATGGCTGCAGCTGTTCCCTCGGATTGGAGCAGATAGAAGAATAGTTGGAAAGGCTAGTCCCTGGTCACAGGATGAAGCCTTGCAGCAAGTGCTAATGAGTGACTGGTAAGTGGAACCAAACAACTAACGTACTTCGTAAGATTAAGACGGTGGGGTTTTAATTCATGCCCAAGGTCATAGAATCACAGAACGGTTTGGGTTGGAATGGACCTTAAAGACCATCCAGTTCCAACCCCCCTGCCATGGGCAGGGACGCCTTCCACTAGACCAGGTTGCTCAAAGCCTCATCCAGCCTGGCCTTGAACACTTCCAGGGATGGGGCATCCACAGCTTCTCTGGGCAACCTGTGCCAGTGCCTCCCCATCCTCTCCATGAAGAACTTCTTCCTGATATCCAATCTAACCCTCCCCACTTTCAGTTTAAACCTGTTCCCCCTTGTCCTGTCACTACAGGCCCTTATAAAAAGACCCCCCCAGCTTCCTTTTAGCCCCTTCAGGTACTGGTCTTTCCATTTTTATGAGAAAGCTTGCCCTTTTTTTTTTGTTTTGCTGGAACACTCATTATTTTAAGGACCAGGTCAAGGAACTACAAGGCTAAAGCTACCTTCTTGGGTTAAATGCCCCTCTCCAATCCTAGTTACCGATCTGGGTAGAATTCCATAAACCCTGCTAGCAGGTTGCCTGCGAGGCTCCATGTAAACCCTCATGCGGCAAGGCGAGTACGCTAGAACATCACAGCACTCGCAAACTGGCCACGTTCCGGGAGGGCAGCTTCCTGGACGTTGAGCGCGTCTTGAGAGTCGCTCTACGTGCTCTCAGACCTGCGCAGAGCGCACTGCGCCCACACCCAGCCTCATCAGTTTCACGCGTGAAGAGCAAAGAACGGACGTCAGTTACGGGATTGTTCTGTTCGTATTTGCAGGTCTGTCAGCTTTACCTCCCTGTACAACCTGCTCAAAGCCAAACTGTGTCCCTACTTCTACGTGTGCACCTACCAGTTCACTGTCCTGTTCCGTGCAGCTGGTCTGGCGGGAAGTGACGTTGTCACAGCTGTGATTTCTCCCACAACTAGAGGCTTAAGGGAAGCCATGAGAAACGAAGGTAAGGTGAAGCCAGTCCAGCTAGGATTCAAGGAACGGATGAAGCGCCTTAGCCGTGTTACAAAACCATTCACCGCGTGCTTTCCTCCTCTGTCCAAGGCATAGAGTTTTCTTTACCGCTGGTAGAAGAAAGAACCAGGAAACAGAAAAATTCCAAAGTGAATCTGGAAACAGAAGTTGCCAACAGCATCGAAGTGGGCAACAGTGTGGAAGAAGGAGAGTACGTACTAAGCCTTGTAGGGTGCTAGCATGCAGGGGCATCCACCGACTCCTGCATATTCTTGGCCATCTTCCTAGGGAGTACTGCCCTCCTCACGCCGATTCTCTCTTTCCCAGGGAACCAGCCCCGGGCGATGACGATGATGATGAAAGCTTCTCTTGGCTTGAGGAGATGGGAGTCAAAGACAAGGTTAAGAAACCAGACGCTATTTCTATCAAACTGTATCCTTTCTTTGCACGTGAAGATGCCGCTGTCACCTTGCTGTGGTATGGATGCAGGTTTTATAAAAGCTTTTGAGAACTTATTTCCAGACATGAATCCTCACGTTAGCACACACTCAGAGACTCTCCCCGTTGTCTTGGGTTCCTTTATGACCGGTGTTTCTAGATGCTTTTCTTCTGGAAGGAAAAGCCCTTGTGAACCGGTAACATAACTCCGTAAGATGCGCTGGGCCTGGGGCTGATGGCGGCACCGCACATGCGGGCTCGCTGGAATGACGCAGTAGGGTTTATTGGCTTCTGAAGAAAAGGGGGGTGGTTTGTGTAGGCTTGGTTTGCACTTGCAAGTTGTGGGGCTTAGCAGGGACACAGCTGTAAACCGGAAGAGCTTTGCTGAGAACCTGGCTGTGTTTCAGAGGGACGCTGTCCTCTGGTTCCGTTTGCACTTGGAGCACCTGAAGTGTTTGATGACAAAATCGGAAGTCAGGTTTAAGACGCCGCTGAGTATCTGAGGAGCAGATCTGAACCAGCGCAAAGCTTGGTGGGTTCCTGTGGGTTGGTTTATTTAAAGGCCTTGATTGGCCAGAGGGGAGCGGGGGGCTGCTTCTGGAGTTGCGCCGCTCCCCTTCTTCCTTTGGTGCACTGATGCTTTTCACTTCCTCATGGTTTTCCTTTGACCCACGCCAACAGTCGTAAGGAGAAGCATGAGGTGCAGATGGATCACAGGCCGGAATCCCTTGCCTTGGTGAAAGGAACAAACACGTTCACCTTGCTGAACTTCTTGGTAAACTGCAAGAGCCTGGTGGCTGTTGCAGGCCCGCAAGCAGGGCTGCCGCCAACTCTCTTGTCCCCCGTCGCCTTCCGGGGCGGGACCATGCAGACGCTCAAAGTGAGTAACGCAACCATCCCCTTTTTCGGGTCAAGAAAATGGGTTCCTCGCGCAGCTGGCTTCGCGTCGTTTCCCTCGGGTACAGCAGAGCAGTTTTTGTTGCCATAGCCAGAGTTAGCATTTTGACTGCAGCACCTCCTCATCACCTCTATCCACACGGATCTGTGCTGCTAAACTGAAATCCCGGCACCTCCCTTCTCCACACCCCTGTAAGAGGTTAAGCAGACTTTCCAGATACTAAAGCCGTTAAAAGGGTCTCCCGAGATCTTACGGGGCCTGGGACCACCACAGCTGCCAGCAGCGAGGCAGCCTCTGAGCCGGGGCTCACCGTGCTGCCGGGGGGAGGCGGTGGGTGCTGAAGGATCAGCTGCTGGGGCAGGTCGGGCCAGTCTCCTGCCACCAGGAGTAGCTCACGCTGCTCCCAGCTTTCTCAGTACTGTGCGGCCT